AGAGTAACGTGTGTGCGTACACGTGGGGAGCTTTTCAAACTTCATTAAACTATGCAAAAATGAAATTAGGAGTAGTGAGGGACGAACAACGTCACCACATGCGTGAAGGAAGGGGGTGGGTGTAGATAGTACCATACATTGCAAAGGAAAAAATATTTAGGGAATGATTCTCTCACCCCACAGAGCCCCATCTCAGACAACAGTGTTTATGGGAACCCCATCTCTGACAACAGTGTTTATGGGTTAAGGTTTTGTGTGTGAATTTCTTCATCTGTTTGTAGCCACATATGGTACCTGTATCGCCATCTTGTGGAGTTTTAATACGTGCTCCTGATATCCAGGTTTTAAAAGCATTCTCCGTGTCTGGTGTCTCTTTCTAGATGAACTGATCGGTTTGTCATTTTTGATCAGACCATTAGGCTGAAAGTGTCTTTTGTACATTAGGTGTTTCGTGGCTATCACGTGTTGTGGTATAGGTTTAAACCACTTAGGTTCAATCTCGCAGTCACTAGCTATCAGATTCGTTCAGAATTCTATGTACCTAACATCTTACGTAAGTAGTCTAGGCAGGTTACTTAGTTGTTTTAATTACTTTAAATACACAGTGCTGCTTTTACATTTTATAAAGTTATATTATATTCAAATACAAAATATTACAGCCAAAAAGAAATGTTTTGTACGGGTTTTCCTCCTAGTATATAATTAAACTAAAAGAAAAATAGCAGTGCCAAATCGAATATAATTTGTATTTCAACTTTATCTACTATCAAAACTATTATAAGCTCTTATGCTCTACGTTTCATTTAAAAATATGTGAGCAGATTATACAGTTAATGAAAAGAAGTATAAATATTTCACGTTCTTTAAATGATTTTTCAAATGTAGTTTCATTACATGGACTCGTAGTAAATTTCTTTTATATATATATATATATATAATATATGCCAACATTATCAAGCGAGGTGGATCTATAGAAAACATTAAATATAATCTTCATAACACCATCTACAGGCTTGAAACAAACTTATATATATATATAAATATACGTGCCATTTGGAATTTCACTTGCTTGTTACATCAAACCGATTCTATGTTTTTGACACAAAAGTGTGTGTAATGGAGTTTTATAACCTTATTTCTCTTCTTTCTGTTTTTGTAAGGATAATAAAAGTGCATATATTGTAGGAACTTAAATGTCATTAATACACACACATATATATAAACTTCTTCTTCAACCCTTTTACGACCAGTTTAGTGTTCAACATATATGTGCCTAAATACCCATAAGGGAGTTTAATCCTTTTGGGTCATGTAGAAATGGCTACAAAGCTGCGACGCTACTCCCAGATAATGTTACTCGATTTCTCACAGTTCGGTTTCACTATCATACAGTTCGGTTTCGCTGTCATACAGTTCGGTTTCGCTGTCATTATAGATTTTTTGCTTCAACAGAATGTTAAACTTTTAAAAAACGTGTGAATGTTTTTGTACTCATGAAGTGAAAGCTCTTATATGATTTGTGTGAGTTAGATTGTCGTTCGTTTTAAGTGCTTACTCAATTAAAGCTGCAGTCTAAACAGTCACCAGGGGGTTATTTACACATCCATCTTTGCTGACATAAATTGCTTGTTGTTTGGTTCGATTTGCTAGTTATTTTTTAAAGAAAGGAAAATGAAGAGCAGATGTACTTTATCTGCTACAGGATCTGGTAATTAGAAACATTGGCTGTAAGCGCTACTTAAATTTATCATTGTCGCTTAATTGCCAGCTACTTATGTGTAATTTTACTTTTAATGAGCAGAATTTAGTAATAAGTCTTGAGCATTTCTAAATGCCCAAAGTTTGTTCTATCATCTTACTTAGTGTGATTAAAGAACACCAGCAAGAGAAACAAACTCGAAACGTATGTTTACGAAACGTTAGCTGTATCGTTTCATCATTGTGTATTGCGTGCTATCGTGTGTCTAATTTTTAATGTTTTATTTTATGGAATAATAGTTCAAGTTCATAACCAACTGTAGAAATGAATCTTAACACCCCACTTATGGCCTGGTGGTTAAGGCGTCCGATTCGCAATCTGAGGGTCGCGTCATCGAACATGCTCGAGGGTTCAGCTGTGGGTACATTGTAATGTGACGGTCAATCCCACTATTCGTTGGTAAAATAGTAACCCAAGAGCTGGCAGTGGATGATGTTGACTAGCTGTCTTCCCTCTAGCATATTAGTACTATATTAGGGAGACTAGCACAGATAGCCTTCGTGTAGCTTTGTGTGAAACTCAAACCAAACCAAAACAAACACCCCACATTGTAATGCTTGGAGACGGCTTGAATGGGTAACCTTGTCGAAACGTTGTACATTTGTTGTTATGTTAAACTTATATTAAAGTTTTTCTTCATTTTTGTCATCATCAGGTACAAGTAGTTTACACTGACACAGATATATATATATATATTTACAATACGGAACAAATAGGTCACATGACCGGATATTTGTTGCACGATTTAGAAGAGATATCCTGGCACCCCAGGGTGTTGGTTTAGAATAGGGTTGTTTTGTTCAATTAAGATGGATTCCTTGATTTTTCGTCTCTTTATGTCAGGTTCTTTGTTTAAAATTACTGTTTTAATAGATATACTATAGTTTTTTGAGTTGCAATGGTGGAAAACATGGGACGTTTTTTTTTATTGTGTTTTGTGAATCTGGTTTTCAATTTTCTTCCTGTTTCTACGATGTAGAATTCTGGGCAGTTATTGCATGTTATTTTGTAAATGATGTTGATATTGTGTGATTCTAAGTAATTTTTGTTTAGTAAAGATTTTAATTTAGGGCCGGGTTTTTGAGAGAATTTGACGTTGACAGGAATTTTGTGTATAATGGCTAGTTTTGTCCAAGTGTGGATTATTCTTGAGCTGGTTTCATGGACAAAAGGTAAACTGTCGTTTTATTTTGGGGGTGTTACAGAAGTCTGGAATGCTAACCACCAGGAGTTGACCATCACCCTTATAACATAACCATGCACCCAAAGTGTGGGGTGTTATTATTATTATTATTGCAGTAATAGGATGAAAATAAGTCTCAAAGATCAATAGTCCTGACCACATTGTAGTAATAGTTGTGTTATGTTTCAGTAGATTTTAGCAAGTTCCATATTGTATTTGTTTGTTTTGAATTTCGC